TATATATATATATATATATATATATATATATATATATATATATATATATATATATATATATATATATATATATATATATATATATGATTTCCTGCTTTTTTAAGTAACCTAGTATAAATAAAATAAGGTCGATGATATTCGTACACCAAAAACCATCGGGGTGACACACTCACACTATGAAGCGAACCAAATTGCCAACAAAGCGTTAAGCGATCATTGTATAGTCTCAAACGATGGAATTTAAGGAATATATAGAGATGTTTTTTAGTGACGATGAATAAATATGTTTTGGGGAACATAATCTTTAGAAGGCCTTGATATTTTTCTAACTGCTTTTACGCAGTGATCGAAGACGAGACACAGCATCATTTGGCATCATTCGTACGACAGAATCACGAATATTCGTAATTTAAAGGGCGACATTTTTAATTTATTCTATTCTATTTTACTATTTGCTGTATAATGCGCAATGTTTGCATTCTACTATTTATGAGGCCAACTAGCTAAGAAAAAGATATTCGGTTCAAGTGCCTTGTCTATTTTCTTCGAGACAGCTCATTTCAATTGTTGGAGGAATGTGAATACTAGATTATATGTATAAACATACACGTATATAAATATTGATAATAAACTATATTATACACGTATACCTATACATATATGTATATATATATTCATAAGTATAATATGTATATATATATATACATATGTATGTATATATTATACATACTTACCGACAAAAGTTAAGAAACAAAGCAGAAATTATGTAATGTATGTTTTGTTTCTTCATTTGTGTATGTTATTGAATAAACAAAATACTAAAAATATATTATTTTTAGTATAAAATATCTTATGATACATCTATATTAGTTTCATATGCGTATATGTAATCGTCAGGAATGAATACAACAGACATTCGTTTAGACAAAACTTAAGAAACATTTATTTAATAAGTCGTATACTCTTTATCAATTAGAATAACCGAATATAAAAGGGTAAATGTCTGTCCTTATTAAAATATCGAAAACTCTTCATATCATATTACCGCTTGACATCTAATCAAGATTCATTTGATTAATTTAACGGGAAATTTTATTAATATTCGGCACTGTATATTTGTACTTCGTCGCGTTAGTTTACCTTTATTATGGTCTCGTATGTGCTCAAGTTTTGTTTTAATAATTATTACGTTGGAACGATCAACTAGTAACCTATTGGAAAAATTAGTGTTTCTTAACTTTTGTCTGCATTCTATTATCGTGCTTCTATTATTAAATGATAAATATTACTAATACATAGGGTATTTGAAATAGTTTTTATTACTTCCGAATGTACGAAATCATATCTCTGCTGTACCTTAAGTAACTTCAATTCAACTATATATGATTTATCGATACCTAGTTTTTGAATTATGCAAAACACTTGTATTTCTTACTTTTTGTTGGCAAGTATATGTATCTATATATACATATATAGATATATACACACGTACACACATACACACATATATATCATCATCAATATACTAGATATTGTACTACAAGGTACAATAATATACTACTATCACGAAAATGAAATAATAGGTCATGTATACAGAAATTCACTTATATTTTTTAGATTTACAGTAATTTTTATAAAACTACTTGGTACGACGACCTACATGTCATCTCCAAAGCATGGTTGATATACAAAAATGCCAGAATTAGCAGTCTTTAAATATGTTTAGTTTTGGCTAAGAGTTTGATAGATGCTGTGCATGAATGTACCTTTTCTAATGAATTATAAATATAAAATATTGTAATTACGAAATAATATTCTCTGTACACATAATGTCATAATACATAAAATCTATTGTAATAATATATATACATAATTAATCTATTGTTAAGACTGTGTTTTCCTCACTGTAGTACCTTGAAACAGGTACATCATCATACTATTTGAATGAAGTGTTTACGATTTTCTCCATACTCTTATATACTGTCTGGTATCTGAAACGCCTGTAGCTGTTTCACGAATCCCTCGTTCGGTTTAATGCAACTTCTAACTTCCTTCACTTTCTGATAAGCCTGGTCAAATGACAATTTTTCGGACGCCATTAAGTAAGAAATAACGATGCTTGGCGAACGAGACACGCCAGCGTTACAGTGTACAAGAATATTTTTAACACGATTTTCATCTATGATTTTTATACATTGTTCCATTGAAGAAGTTAAATCGCTCTCGGGTAAATCTAATAATTCACAGTGATAATATGTAATAGAGTCGAACCTAATTGGTGCACTGATACCGATGCTCAAAATACTATGAATATCATGTGCCTGTAAAATTTCTATACTTCCTACAGGATCTTGCGAGCTCAGAAACAATCCAGGCATTATTTGTGCAACCTGTAAGTCGGGTTTGTCGTCTACAATAAATGGTGTTCCAGGTGGCAATTCTTTCTTTTCTCCATTGACTTCTTCGTATCTTTGGCCAAGCACTGTTGTTACAACAGTTTTACAAGGTTTCAAAAGCGACTTTTTATTTTTCAGCAGATTTTCTAAATTCATTACTGATGCACGATATTCGAATAGAATAAAACAAAGTTCAAAGTGAAATTATAATTTTTTAATGTTTATTAAATCTATGTTATGTCTCATCTAAATCGATTGGTTTAACTATAGGGTTGTTAGGCGTTGTTGGTTTGCATTTGATAATGTATTTATCTAAGGTTTCTTGTGAATACTCCACATTTATCAAATGTAAACCTGATGGTGGTACTAGTGGCAAGTGCCTTATCCAATTTTGATGATTTGGAACTTGTAACATGCAGTTTATATCCCTTTCTGTGATATATCCAGCACCTAAGTGTAACAAAGCAGTTACCATCCGTCTCACCTGAAAATAATCGATTAAACATATGTATCTTTAAAACAAGAAATTAAATTTGAATGAAAATACCGTTATCTCGTATAGATATAAATAAAGAAACGTTTGCTTTGTGTATCACACGTTTCGCGCGGTACTCACGAAAATACTAATGCTTGAATATTAAAAACGTATTAAATAATTAGTAATAAATAATTAATAAAATTGATGTTCTTTTGTTGTTACACACCTGATTGTATAAGAAAGATCTTGAGCTACACAAAACTTGCCAAAATTCATAATTTTGTGACAAAGGATCCATAGGCATAAGCGGATGACTTTTTTCTACAGTGAATTCATCAATGGTTCTACGATATAATAAATTTGTTTTGGTTTTTGGAGATGCTGAAAATGTCTTGAAATCTTTTGTTCCTAAAAAGAGCCTCGCTCCACGTTTCATTCGTTCTATATCAAAATTTTTATCCCTAGAAATATATACACAAAAGCATGTAGAAAGGTAACATTATTTCTAGAATATTAAACATATTTTTTATAGAAATTATAACAGTACCTAAAGCAGTGGGTATGCGATTTCTCAATTAATGGTAATTGGTGATTAGTAGATACCTTAGGTATCATAAATCTGTAGATATATTTTCTTTGGGTTGCCACATGTCTGGCATGAAACGTTTCCTTTACAGGCACAAATTCTAAAAGTCTTATAAATGATATATTAATACATTAAACATCCGTAGAGATTAAAAGATAATAATTATGAAATTCTTTACCTGATATCATGTCTACATTTTGTTAGGTATCTATTTACGTCTTTACATACTATACTAGGATTATAAATACCATTGCACGAATTCTGTATGTCAACATGAGCTGTATTACAGAGAGCATGTACACCAGTATCAGTTCTACAAATTATATAAATATAGATTACAATTATTGTAGGAAACAAGTATTTTGATATTTCATTGTACGAAGCGTCTGGAAAAATCAAGTCTAATAAAGAGATTCACCTGCTAGAAGTACTTATTTTTGGCCAAACTGTGCATTTTGGTCTCAGCACTGAAAAAGCGCATTCTAAAGCTCCTTGAATAGTATCTGTATCATGGATTATATGTTCCGACTGAAATATATTTTTCTGCAGTCCCCTTATTTAATGAATTAAAAAAATCATTTGCAATAATTTCACCTTATACACTGCAAAATCTCAAATACTCAATATTATATTTTATTTAGTGGAAAAAGGAATTATCAACAAAACTATTAAAAGCACGTGCGCGTCTCGTAATACCTGTATTCTGTACCGATATATGAAAATTTTATGAAGTATCTTTGCATTATTTTTGGGATTAAAGAATGTATATGGTACAACTGTTCAACCCCTTAAAATTCCTCATTCAGTTTCTTACAAATTACAATATAATACACAAGATATTTCGTTATCTTTCGAGTAACCAAATGCAGCATTAGTTTCGCGTGATGATTTTATTTTTAAAGGTTCACATCCATTACAGCTCGTCTTATTCAAAGGCCTAACAGGTAGAAATGATATTTAAAAAATCACAAAAAAACTTAAAATTAACGAAATAACGCTATACGTTAATCACCCCAAATGTACACAGGTTTACATGAACATTCGGGCAAAACGGATTTTGTTTAATCATCACCATCATCAAGTTGATACTCAAATTCACAATTCTTAGTATCGTAGTTTTGAATTAATATTCAACTTTTCTTATAAGTAACACAAGTGTGAATAAGAATATCTTGTCTTGACTACATAAATAAACTGTTCGCGGAATGTGAACAGAATGTATTTTATAAATTTAAAAATTATTGTTAATCGCTGAATTCAGTGTTACCAATTGTAACGAAGATACGTGACACTGACAACGGACTAACAGTCGTAACTACGAAAATCAAATATCTGAAAAGTAAATAACGACTAGATAAATAAATTTTACATCTTAAACTTTCTTAAGTTTGAGGTTATAATTTCAAATATTTGGCACAGACTAAAAACACGTATAGATGTAATACCTTATGGAAATTTTTGCCAGAGCTTTGGGGGTCGTGAGACCCCCAAACCATTTCGTTGTCGATCTCGACGTTACCGATAGTACAAAATTTTAGGCTTGTCAGTAGAAATCGAATTAGCTATATACTTCATTTCTGCTACGAGTGTGTCATATGATTTAGCGTCAACAAATGTTTGGGTTAGGATTAGGCATGCTATTTCACAGATAAAGTTTTACTATCTGAAAATATTATTGGCTGACCTCAGAAAACCTGTCAGAATCCAATAGGACTGAACTCCTACATATAAATAGAAACTTATCTTCTTCTAAATAGAAACAATATTTACAAGGACATTTCAGCGATGCGAAGGTTAAGATTCAAATTTTTCAAGTTATTTTTAAAAACATCTGTTCGTCGCATCGTGAGCAATGTTGCCTTTACTGTAACGGTAACGTAGAGACTGACACGTGGTAAAACACGTTTTTGCAAAATTTTCTCTCAACTTTAGAATTTCCAACAATCCTACTCCTCAATATTTTCCCTATACAAAATGAAGCTGTTAATAGAATATTAACTCAATCAAGACATCAAAGTGTCAAAAATTACAGGGATTGACATTGAAATGGTAAAGTGAAATTTTGGTAAAATTCTGCATCTTAACGTTCGCATCGACAAAAATCCTTCTCGCAAACATTGTTTTTATACAAAATGAAACTACGTAGAAAATGTCGTTCTTTTGGGTTATCAGGTTTTTGGAGGTTTCACCTATACCTTCGACGTAACCTCCGCAGTTGATTGGTCCACGTGCAAGGTGATCGATCTTATACAACTCCCGCGGTAAAACAACCCGAATTGGACCATGAAAATATGAGTTATTCGGTCTATTTTTACACCTTATTTATAGCAATAGTATCGAGTGTTATTCTCGTCGCTTCAACCTACGCAGGTGTTTATTTCCGTCCACGCGTTAATATCGAGCAACAGTGGGACGAGTCGAATAAACGGGGAACTCGGTTCTTGCGACAAGGAAAAACAAATTCGTGCATTATCGATCCGAGCTTTCGCTTAGCAATTTGAGCACGTTTCCGTGAACGGCGCCACTAGTCGAAAATGGAATTTTTCCGAAGAAACGTCTTCTGCCGCAATGTCCGTACGTCAACACGTTCCGTGCTACCGGAAATTTATATCTTGCTTATAATGTGCTGTTATTTTTCAAATGACATGTTAAGTATATTCAAGCTTCTGCTGACATTTCAGATATTTTTCATATTATTTACGTTGTTGTTTCGCGTACCATTGTTTGACACGTCTCATTAAAAATGCTTACAAAAATTCCTAGTGTACCATAATGATTAAGACGCGAACGATAAGTAGGAATGCATTACAGCGAAGAAGTTCAATAGAATCAACTGTTTAAACGGTAAATGGACTTTTGTCACACGATGCGTCAGGAAGTGTAGGTAATATTTATTTACGCGTTTGCTAACGTCGGTTGTTGACGCAGGTGATTGAAGAATCCACTTACCAGCGATTTTCAGCTCAAGTTCCTTTCGCTTCTCTAAATTGATGGTAATGCGTTCACGATTATCCGGGGTGAAATGCACGAGGATTCCAGCACTTTGGTTAATATTAATACTGACGCAAAACTGTCAACAGTTCTGACCGTTAACGGTTTCGACTTTCGCGTTAAACGCTCGATGTATCGGAGCGTTCGATACTTCGATGGAATGTTCGATATTTCCGGTACCAGCTAATATCGAAAAGAAACTCGCAGGACGAAGAGATGGATAACGGAACGCAAGATTTGAATTTTCTCTAAACGACAAATATTTAGCATAAGTTTACTCCTGCAGAGTATACGATTACGACGTTGTGATCGATGAAAGGTAAGTCGAGGAATGTTGTCTCACGATGTACTTAAAGAAATATATTTCTAGTGACCCGATACAAGTATACATCTGTTGCGTGAAGCCGCGTCGCTGTTTGGACTAGCCGACCGGTCGATCGGCGATCTAGAAGTGGAAGACTGGTTGGACCCGCGATTGGGAGTGAGGATATCCTGGTCGGCCCTTTGCGCGGCAGCGCGTCACGCGCAGTTGCCGACGACCGTTTTCGGTGCTTTTATAGGTCCCGGTAGGACGAACGACAAAACGAAGCAAACTAAAACAAGCTCGAGCTGTGACGCGCCGGAAGGAAGATCCAGAGATCCAGGAGTAAGGATAAGAGAAACTCGGGGAACTTACCGAGCATCAAGGCACCGATACCGACGAACGCTGCGACAGGCTGCTTGTCTATTAGGGCTGAAAAGATGCAATTGCCGAGGATAGCTCCCACGTTGGCTAGGTTCGAAAGGACGGTAACGCTGGTGGTCCTGTTCGTCGAAGGTTACGCACGAGTTAGTCGCGATTCCGGTGCCGGTCGACGGTACACTGGCGCATCCGCGCACACGCATACACACACACGCGGCTAGGGAGGGAAGAAGAAAGTCTCAAGAGAGCTGACTCGAAACCGTGGCATTACCTCAAGGGGACGGGGACCACTTGGACGTTGACTTGGTCCACGACGTTGCTGGCGACTTTCCCGGCGACGATAATGGCGGCTGCGAGCGTCAGTATGTTCGGTGGATCCGGGACCCAGTTCAGGCCGAGGCCGCTGCCCGCCGGTATCAGAAAGGCGGCAACTGCAACGACAACCGAACGCGTTTGCCCGGTGTAATCGGCGGAACGGGGGGAAGGCGGACGCGCGAGCTCGTAACCGAATACTTGCTCGTCAATTCGGATCCGCGTCCGTTAGCTGTCGCGTTAATCCAGAAATCGAGACTCACGCAGCACCGTCTTTCTTTGGAACTCGGTGTTGGTTACCGTTCCGGCGAGGAACGCGACGACCACGGTCGAGAACGCGATAATGGTCGATTTCATATAGATCGGACTGTTCACCGTCCACTGAAACAGAAACCCGATTGGACACGGTGCCGGCCGGGATCGCCGCGAGACTTCTCACCATCGCGCAGACGTCGTATAAATTCGGGCATCGGACGTAATCCTTCATCGCCAGGGAATTCCGACGGTCCAGCAGGTCCGCGAGAAGGGGCGGCCTGTCCTCCGTCCACGCGTCGCCGTTGAAGTTGCTTATGATCATGAACGTGTGCGGCACCCAGAGCCTCATCGTGTGGAACCTGCGTAAACGAATTCGGCGGGAGAAGCGGAATCGAAGAGGGGGAGGGTTATCCGGGAAACTCACGCCAACGAGCTACCGAACTGCAGGAAGCCCAGCCGGGAGACGCCGGCCAGATACGGCGCGGAGAACAATACCTTGGTATTGTAGCAGGCTAACCGTAATCTCTCGGAGTTCTCCTTGAAAAACGAGCGGCGAGACGCCCGCGCGGTCCGACTGCCGAGCAGCGTTTCTATCTGCAACGGAGACGGATGATGTCGTCGGTCCATCGAGATCGGATATTCGAGACGATATTCTAGCGAATCGTCTCGCGACTGCAACGTCGTCAACGGAGTCCCTGGAATCTTACCGGAAACGTGTCGGCGGATTTCCACCTGTTGACCGAGTACATCCTCCGGAGCAGGTTCAAGGCTTCGTCGGGCCTGCCGATCTCCACGAGGTACTTGGGGGAGTGCGGCAGCGTGCTGGTCGTCAGGATACCGATCAACGGAACCATCGAACAGATCAGCAGGTAGATTCGCCAAGAGTTGTAGCGCCGATAGAATATCTCGACGTCCAAGGATAGTGGCACGATCGAGAAAGCCAAGGCTGCGAACGCGCCACGTTGTTCGATCGAAACGAATCGATAGGACGATCGGGCTTACCTGCCGGGAGGATGATCGCCGCGTTCACGGCCAGGCCGGCCCACCTCGCGAAGCTGGCCTTGTACTTGGCGGAGTGAAATTCGGACAGGTATTGCATCACCATCGAGAACGGGCCGGCGACGCTGCAAACAAGCCGGATGTTCGTGAGCCCGACTCGGGAGGGTTGCCGCGCGTAACGGTGCACGTCGCTCGGCGACGACTCACAGAATACCGGTGAGGAATTTGATCGCTAGGAACGCGTGATAGGAATCGATGGCGCTGCTAACCACGTTCAGCGCGGCGTCCGCCAGCAGGCTGAGGATGAACAAGTTCCGCGTGGCGACGCAGGGGTTCGCGCGGTCCCAGATCACGTTCCCCAGGATCATGCCTGCCGGAAGGAGAGCTGCGGGTAATCGCGGTCGCGAACTCGTGACCGAGCCCGTCACGTGGAAAGCCGATCAGTGGCGAGCGATGATTGCGTATCGCGTGACACGCGTCGCGTGACCGTGACGCGCGACGGGCGACGCGCCCCCACTGATCGGTGCAACGATACTCTACCCAAGAACGGCATGGAGGCTAGCACCCCTTTGCGCAAGGTAGTCGCCCCGAGGTCGCACTCGATCGAGATCAGAACGAAGGCGGTGGTGGTCGTGTCGAAGATCCCGCTCCAAGCGACCGGCAGTGCCGCCACCAGGAGTAACACGTTGAACGTGCCGTAACCTGCGGAGCAAAAGAGCCAGAGGCGCGAGCGCGATTCGGTCGTTGCTCGCGTAACCGCGGGTGGACGCTCGCCAAGGTGCACTAACCTGTCTCAGCTATCGCCCTCTCGAGGTCCGCGGCGCCGCCGACGTCGATGTCGTCGCATCTCACTGAAAATTACGGTCGTTGGTCTCGAGGAGACGGAACGAGGATAGGAGAGCGTTCTCTTTCTCACCGTCTATCGTGGCGATGGGATCACTGTTCCTCCCCTTAGTCATCGCACTGTGAATGGATCGGTCGATCGTTTTCCGTCGGGAACAAGAAACGATTTTATATATGTATAGTCGGATGAGACTGCCGGTTACTGTGGTTCGGGGTTGCTCGTCCTTCACTTCGGCCACGTTCGCCAGAGTTTGCCGTCGTTTCCAACCGTCGTTTCCACCCGTCGTTCACACCGTCGCGGTGCGCGCGTGATTCAGGACTGATGATCGCACCGCTTCATTTTCCGAATCGATTTACGAGACTACGAAGCTGCCAGATCTCGGCCGGCTGGCGAGCTTCCCATTCGCGGCAGCCGCGACTCGCTAATAGAAACGGGTCAAACGATTCAATTGTCGTGGCCAGTAGCAATCGCGATCGTCGTCGAGGCGCGCGCGACGTCAACGATCAACGGGACGGGATCGATCGAACTTTTCGGTCCTCCGGGCTCGTGCCGCGGAACGGCGGCGTGCGACAGCCGAAATCTCCGTCAGTTACGGCGCGCGCGCGCGTGCGCGATCTATTGAGATTCACGGAATAGTTCCGACGGATCTCCCGGCGATAAGATAAGAGGACGCGCGTTCGTGTCGCGATCCGGTCGCGTCGATGGTTATCGCTGCCGCGAGCGACGTTCGCCGAATCGTAACTGCGCCGTGCGCTCGTTCGATCTAATATCTGCCGGTGTCTAATCAATTCCGCGATTGGAATAGAAGGCGATCGTTCGCTTTGCCTCACCTCGGCTCGCCTTCGCTCTCGCCCCGTCCCTCCTCGCGCCGCGTATCGGAACTGGTTCGATCGCTGCTATCCCGATCCGTGGAAGATTACCATTACAAATTGAAAAGAACCGCGCGAGAGCTCGTTAATTACGCGTCAAGTGGACGCAGCTGCTATCGGACGCGTATCGCGTGCCGAAAACCCTCTATTGTATCTCGTCGAACGTTTCAGGAGCGGGAACCGTCGACATTTCGGACGACCACGATCTCGCGGCAGCATCGTCGCTTCTCGAGACGAACGCTTAGGAGTCGCGTGGCGGAGGTTACGCGTGCAGCGACGCACGAGAGAAGACGAAGAGGATAGCAGCGCGCTGAAACTCGATCCAGCCAGCTAAATCGATTCGTCCTAGACACGCGCCGACCGTTTTTTCGCTTGTCGAATCGTCGAACAGCTTCCAGGAAAATGCGTTTGTTTGCGATTTTCGCGAGACGGCGTCGCGCCGCGCCTTGTTTCGCCGCTCGTTAGCGAGCACACGCGGCCAGACACCAGTTGTCCTAGGAACCAGTCCGCGGGAACGGCTACCGTTCGCTACCGATGGCCGTGAGCGGCTCTCCCACGTCGCGGACGCGTTTCCTTGATCCTTTCCGGTGGAACGCGGCGTCGCGACTTTCCGTCCGCGCGCGACACCTCGATCGTCTCCGAGCTCTCGGCATCGATCGCGGCGCTTTCGCGCACCCGATCTATGCAAATACGGGCGCCACGTCAAAAGCTAATGACACAAAGGCAACGCGTGCGGCCAGGTCGATCCCTCGATGCTCGCCCGTTGCCCGGCGCCCATCGGCGCCGACCGCGAGCCTCGAATGCGGGGTTAATTTACGAGCAACGCGTAACGCGGTTACCTGCATCGTCCTCGTCCGTGAAATCGCGCCCCTCCCCGATCCGACGGTTCCGCCGGAAGACCGAGCATGCGGTTTCCTCGCGTTCGTAACTCACGAGACTTTCCCTGTACCTTGGGCTTCTCGGGACTATGTCTATAAGCTGCTACGAATAAAGCACCAGTGTTTCCCAACGCAGAGTCGCCGCTCCGGCGGAGCGATTCGATTTTTAATCGTATATCTTATCGTACCGCGTTTTTATAACGAATAACACGATGCGACTCTCAGCCACTTGTGAGATTACAAGGAATGAATCGCGAATCACTTCAACTTTCTATAGAGGACTCCCTTCGTGGACGGAGATTATTTATAGTATACGAAACCTAAGGCAGATCCTGTCGAAATAATAGAGAAAAAAGAAACAATGTACTGATCTGTCGCTGTTTTAGTAATTAGTTTGTGTGCAACTTAGTATTATAAATATGAGAGTTTGACTTCGAGTGTTGACATTCGTCCGCAAAGGGTTAAGACAGTCAGTCTATCCGGTGGTTCTAGTGTCAAGGATTCCAATGGGGGATTCAAGCTTCAAATGTCCTAGTATCTTCATAATTGGTGATCGCTCGAGTGTTAGAGAATGATCTTCAGAATCCATAATGATCGCGTTGCATAAGAATCTCCTTTGTTTCCTTCGCTCTATTTGAATCCTCGATGATCCTTGTTCGCGATCGGTTATCCGTGAACGGAGGACTGGTTCGCAGGCGGTCGCGCCGAGTTAATCTTTCGCTGGAGGCTTCGTTAACGCGTGCTTTGGGTGGCGGTAACGCGTGACGAGCCTTAACGAGACGGAACGCGATTAGAGCGAGCTCCGGACTCCGGCGAACCCTCGCGTCCCGGCCGGCCAACGTTCCTCGAGCCCCGGGCGGCTTTCAGGGTTGCTCCCGAGTGCGACGGCTCCTCAGAGTTCCACGGGATCCACCGGGGTTGCTCATTTCCATTTCTTCTCTGGAGAACACTCGAGCGAGTCGATTATTCGAGTGGCAATCGCAGCTTCGGCTAACGAGGCGACGCGTATTAAAGTAATTGCGAGCCGCCCCGCGCACTCCCTCGAACCGCTCCGGGGATGACGGCCGACGACGACGACGACGACGACGACGCGAATACTGGATTTCCCGATTTCGCGCGATCCCCGGAGCGCGCGGCCTCGGAACGCTCCGGCATTCCGTCGGTATTCCGTCGCATAGCGAGGCATTCGCGCGATCCGGCCGGTCAAGAGTGAATTTTCAACGTTTTACCTGAAATGTCTGGTATTCGGGGTAGCCGGCTGTGCGAGGGATAATGTCCTGATCGTCTTTTTATCCTTGGGCACTCGGAAACTGAGCTTTCCTGAAAGTTGGGCATTGTTGTGTACTGTATATTGTATTATTGTACATTGTGCAATGTTCATATACAATATAATTGAGTCGCTCCGAAGCCGACGTAAACTCCGGAAAATAGATCGAGGAAATTGTTTGAACTTCTGAAATGATTGTACAACATATTCGGAAGCTATGCAATGAACTAAAGAGAATACTGATTCCATTAAAATCTACAAGAAAGTATCAATCGACTTAGCATTGTCTTCTGAACGATTCAATTTTCAATCGAACGTATGAAATATAGAATGTGTATTAATCTTTTATTATATATCACTATGTACCATTCCCATATTTTTGCGAAGACTCGACATAAGTTTACTTCCCACATTAGGGGATTCACCCCACTGTGCGTCGGAGACGCACGGATCGGCTGCTGTTGAAATGTCCCAAGGACTGAACATTTGCCAGGCATCGTGTTCCTCGGCTAACTTTCCCAACGACGTCGTTCCGCTCCTGTTTTCCTTAAATACGAGGAACCGGTTGAATCGTCGCGTTTCCTTCTCCAAACATTGTTGCCGGCAGACGTTATTTCTTCCGACAGAAACGAACCGAGACGCAACGTTCATCCCCGAACGCACGGTCGGCGGGGATGCAACGTTCTTTTCCGTCGAATTGTCTCTGCGTTCGCTTTTTCGGAAGATTATGCCGAAACCCGCTCCGGGGGAACGAAATCACCGTCCCCCCTCCCTCTCTCTCCGCCCCTCACCGACGCAGCGGAGAACGAGTATCGCTCCGAGCGACGCGACTCACCCCTTCGTTTGATATTCACTGCACGGTATACGATATTATCTCGAGACAATTGAATTAACCGCTATTGAAACGAAGTTATTTCGAGGTAGAATAGAAGCCGAAGCCTCGCCGACGCATACAAAGTGGCGAAATTTCGGAGGCGTGAATGGCTGATAGCGTGGTCCTCTCTCGCGCGAACGCCGAACGAGAACGCGCTTAATCGCGATCGACGTCCGCGTTAATTGGATACTCGCTCGAATGTCCGATAATCGCGTGATGCGACGAGAGAGAGGTCTCGTCCGTTTCGAATGGCGAATACGTCCCATAGAAACTTGGACATTTTCTTGGGGACGTATGGATCAAACCGATATTTGTTGAATATAGTGATACGAGAAAGATAGCGGAGCAATTACTGGAAAGAGTCTTGACTTAGTTTCTGGTTAATGAACAAATCAGTTTCGAGTACGTGGAAGTTTCGATGAGTGTTTACGTGTCAAAGTGTTAATCGCGATCGATGTTCGCGTTAATTGGGTACTCATTCGGACGTCCGATAGTCGCTTGACGAGAGAGGTCACGTTCGGGGCAGTTGAATATATTGTGAAATAACAAACCGTCGTTGGATAGTTGAGAAGGGTTGAGGAGGTGGAGGACTTGCGAACGATTAAAACACTGCTGTATAGTGATGCTCGCTTAAATTTTAAGGTTCCGGGCTCAGCGTTAAAATTCTGGCAGGTCTTTTACTGTCTGAACTGAGCACAGCCTGGAGCAGGATAGACGAACGCCGTGAAGGAAACTAAGTGGAAAGAAAATTTCAATTGCAGTAATTTGAACCTTATCTTCTCAAACGTAGTACCAACGTATCGTCGAAGTTCTTCCGATTGAAACGAGTCCAAACACGACGTGGATCGGACTAGTCCCACCGACTTCGTAATTAACGAAATTACCGCCTCATTTGTCTGAAATTGATAAAACTAAATCGATCTACGTCGTGTTTGGGCTCGTTCTAATCAGAAGAATCTCAACAAGCGATCGATACCACGTGCGAAAAGATAAGACTGACATAACTGAAAGTGACATTTCCATGGCACGATTGTTTACGTTCACTTATCGCAGCGTATCCGTTTACCTCCGGCCATTGTATTCATTCTCCGTCCCTGCTACCGGGATCACGTTACATCGAGCTCGAGACAGCGGCGATGAGCGTCGAGATGTTCCGTTGACAACGCAGCCCGGATCCTCTAAAATCGAAGCGAGCATCACTGTACACCGTTGTGCGTAAATGTAACATTTATTTCGGCATAAATTATTACGATAGATACATAGGTTAGGTGTAGATACAAAATGAATTGACTGTAGACAGGACTGTAGTAGTGAAAATACACTAATGCGTATGCCGCACCAGTTTCCGTACTCGATTTGCTTCGTCTAATCCCGGCAGTCTCGATCGCCGCGACGATCTCCCGGAGGAGAGAGACGGCGCGCGCAGCTCGTTCCCGCGAGATTCGCGATCCACGATTCGCGGCGAGAATCGTCTGGACGCGAGAGATCGCCGCGAGATATCGTTTCGGCGACGATGTCGCGCGTGCCCCGTTCCGCGGACGCGCGGGGGGAACGGGGGGAGGAGGAGAACTGCGTCGGGGTAAATAAATCGGTCCACGGACGCGTTTCCTCGAACGCGGCCGATTACAGGTTACGAAAAAGATGTTTGATTCTCCGGACTGTCGCGGGGACACTTCGCCACTCCGCGAGCTTTTGATTTTGACCGGCCACTCCGCGAGAATCGTTTCGCCGAAATTGATCCGCCGATTTCAGTGGAGGGTGCGCGCGACGGTTGGGTCGTTCGCACCGGTTAGGAAAACGAAACGCGTTCCCCTTTCGAACGGGGATCAACGGATTCGACGGGAACAGAAAGCGAAATTCGCGGAACCGAGAGCGTTTGGCAAAATATCGATTCGATCTATCGACACGCCGGTCGTAATCGATTCACTGTATGTACCATGTATGTCGTGTACGTATATACGTAATGTAATATAATGTAATATAATATAATATAATATAATATAATGTAATGTAATGTAATGTAATATAATATAATATAATATAATACAATATAATGCAATACAATACAATACAATACAATGTAATATAATACAATATAATATAATATAATATAATATAGTGTATATGTATATGTATATGTATATGTATATGTATATGTATATGTATATACTTTTTACGAACCGTTCCACGATTAAGTAGGATCACAGCCATAGCTTTGAATACGAATGTCTCCTTCGTATTACCGATACGATTACGATGAATAATACCATGTTTCGCGCGAACAGTAGGGATAAAATGTGGACGTTCCTACGAGTATTGTTATATCGTCAACTAACGGCTACGCACACACACACAACATCGATTACAACGAGATACGAGTGAAACTGTTGCACGAGACACACTGAACGAGAAAAGAGTATTCGTATCTTCTCCGATAACCAGAACTTTTTCGATCGAGACGGAACTAACGCAAGGAGGAAGCGAATCACGCGTGTGTCTATCTATTACATTCGGCATGCTCGTTCAAGCGATTATCGCGTTTTCTACACCGCTACTTCTCTACACCGAGGGGAACCGTCGCTCGACGATCCGAGACATCCCGGTGACGTTCCGTCCTCCATCTTCGACGCGTCGAAACTATCGAGATCTCGAACCGTCGATAACGCCCCACTTCGCTAATCTAAAGCGCCACTCGAACGCGCCTACTCGCTACAACAAGACCGATTATCTTTCGCTACACTCTCGATTATCGAGTTCTATCGAAACCGGGTATCCGCGGGGCCGTTCCGTCACGACGACCACGATTTCGCCTCGACTCGCGTGGATCGGCGTCCCGTGACTTCTATAAAAAATAAATTTTACCGTCCGGACTCGTCCTGCCACGGCGCCGAACGATTTATCTCGTCGTGGAACGGAACCGGACCGGATACCGTCGCTACGGTACGTGGACAACTAGGACAACGACGATAACGACACCGACGACAATCAATTTTTTTGGTTTCACTTCACTTCTCTACGACCATTAATACAACACTCTACGATTATAATTTCGCTACGTTCGGAGGATAGTGATTCCCGTCGCGTCCGATCTTCCCGGTTGAATCGAGTTTCGATTCTATAACGGTCGAGCGTCGATTTCAACGGAAGTGACGATCGCGAACGGTTTCGAACAGACTAGAGACAGACCCGTTGCACGTTGAGACCGGCGGAGATCGACGTCGCTCGTCTTCCGATTCGAGGGGAACGTGCAGCCGTGGATCGAAGCTATGGCTAAGTAGTTAGGAGGGACCGTGATATCGGACGTGTACGTTCACTTAAACCGCTACTGCCTACCGAACTAGGACATCGGCTACCCGAAAAGAAGCAAACACCGAAACTGCGTCGACAAGCGTCTATCCAGGACGAGAGTATCTATCTATCAATCTACCGCGAGCTCTACGAGTATAAACAACATCTGACCCTCGGTTTACGCGGGCTTTTCTCACGTGAGCCTCTTTTTTACGCGCGATCTCAATTTATGCGATCTGAATTTAGCAACAGCGAATAAAATGTGATTATTATTTCTATCATTAAGCTACGTGAACCAAATATGTATTTCTAGAACTTACACCAGCTTTTCTCTTGTGCCGACAGGCTCTATTTACGCGATTCTCGTTCGCGTGAAACGAACCCACGTGCAACGGATTCCCGCGTAAATCGAGGGTCAGGTGTACGTAGATTCGAAGGACCCGAGTACTTTCGCGAATGCTGTAGACTTGGATGCTAACATTCAAATTTATAAGCAACATTATTACGCATTCGACCCTACATAACCTTAATTTTTTTTAATTGTCACCGTCTTTGACTCTTGGAGAACTAAATTTGCGTTTCGTCTATTTTTGCAGCTCATTAACTATTTTTACTGTCCGCGAACGTGTTAATCGTCTCGGGTGCCTTCGGTGCGTTACGGTACGTAACAATTCTATGTTTCTAAGGAGACACCACTACAGAGAGCTATGCGTCGAACGAAGCGTTGCGTTTCTACGATCAACCATCTACGGTAATGTCTACACCATCTACAACACCGAACGAGTTGCTCGAAAACTTTGTTCAACCGCTTTGGAACCAACTAAACCGTTTCTATGTTTCTAGAGTCTACAATGCATAAGGGAGCTCGACTAAACGGGACACTGTTTAGACGAAATTCTACCTGCCGATCCAGAGAGGGCGCTATGGACTTAGGGGACGCGAGTGCATGGACGAAGAAGCGATAGAATCGTTGAACACACTGATGGAGAGACTAGGAGAGATCCTCATCGATCTCTTGACGATACAGTGGCGTTCAGAAGTTCCTGGCTAGATCGTTCTTGGCTCTTACACGATGGAAGCTTTAGACTCTTTGCTATTGTGATGTATAAAAGACACATTGCAGGGGAAGATACTGTAAGAGTCAACTCCACCTATTCTTTATACATACACAGAAATAATTCAGCATATTCAAAGGTTTCTAGCTTGCACAGTGAAAGCAAGGACTGCTATTATGATATATAAGACACTGCAGGAGACACTGTAAGAAAGTCTACATCTATTCTTTATGCATGTATCTTTAGAAATAAGTAATTTAGCACATTCAAAGGTTTCTAGCTTGCACAATGAAAGCTTTCAGGACTCTTTTTTATTCTGATATATAAAAGACACATTGTAAGAGAGGGTACTGTAAGGAAGTCCACATCTATTCTTTATATATGTGTCTTTAGAAGTAATTCAGCATGTTCAAAGTTTTCTAGCATATTTAACACGTTAAATGCCACGTTAGTTACCGATGGCTGACGCTTCTGAATTACTTGGAAACAACCGTAACATGTATAATAATGTCAAATCAAAACGTTTAGTAACGTAAGTTGATAATAGTGTAATGCAACGATTGAAAAAAAGTGAATGATTCTTGCTACTTTGCTGAAAAGGGTAACTACAGAAAAATGGTCATTTCCGTGGCGTTTAACGTGTTTACGTATTGCGCTCAGTATCTAATGTTCATACTCCTCGACAGCGGCGAGTCGGCGTGGCACGGACTCAATTCCAAAAACGATCTGCGCCCTTCTGAACGTCGCTGCACACTGATGGACAGACTAGGAGAGCACGGAATGGCGGAAACAGACGGATACAGAGAGATCGGGAAAGAGACGGGAAGCGTTGTTCGTTATCGTTTCAACTAGCGGGTACACCGTTGCCCCGAGCGACCATCGAAATGCGCGTACCGCGTAGCTACGGAGGTACGATCGATCGGCGGCCGTTGGTAAGTGCTACTTACGAGCCGCGCGTTTCGCCGATCGCCGAGCATCTACGGTGAACGCGTTACTCGCGCGAGCCGAGTCGTCCTGCGGCTCAAAACCGAAGAGGATCGAGGGGAGACTCTCGCAGCGCTCGGCTTTCGGACGCACGGTCTCGATCGGCCATCGGTCCCCTCGCTTCTCTTCGCTTTCGAGTGAAAGATCGTATCGACTCGCGTCAGTGACGCACTGTACGTATGCGTGTGTTTATGATCTACGATGTCGCGCCTTAATCCTATGTCTTAATCCGTTTGTCGGCGTTCTACACGCCCTTGAGCAAAGCCGAAAGTACAAAAATCCTCTAAACGGCGATTACGCTGGTTCCGATCGGTCGTCTGGCCGACTCGAGGCGGGTCGAGCCGACCCACGAAGGATCAAACGTCGCTCCATCGGGACGCATCGGGACGCGTCGTGACGCGGTCGACTTTCCCTACTCGTTAAGAAAAATAAGTATCGCGCTCGCTATGCACCGATTCACGACGATCCCGCGAAACTTCGCGGCGGAAGTTTACGTTTCTCTCTCGCGCCTACCGTAGCGAGCGATTCGTTGGTTTGAGCGGTGGCGGCGCGCGGCTGGCCGGAATCGTTGGGACCCGGAAGAAATTCAAATTCTCTATTCGTTGTTGTCGCATGTATATGGCTGGTGATACGGTTCGAATTGCTGGACAGTTGTGTAAAATGAAATGAAGCTTCGGAGATAGGGGAATGTAGGTTGTAGCGGAATTCTATTTGAGACTCGCGTACTTTCTTTCGTTTTGATTAAGAGTAAGAGCATTCTTTGGTCTATACGCGCAATTCGAAAGAAACAGATCAATCGCAACTCTTCTGATTTCATCTCGTTTCTCCGCTCCAATTACGTTCACGTGTATCCGGATCGCACTGAAACACGACGAATATTGTACGAAACCATTTGTTACATCCCAGCGAAGATGCCCGTGTAAAAAATGTTAGCAAGAACTCGCGACGCTGGAAGTTACAGCGATATATTCCCCTTGACGCGCAAAACTGAACGCAACAAAAACGATGAATTCCGTCCGGGTTCCTCCGTTTCCAGGCCACCGCGCGGCGGTTTGACGTCCGCGATGGCGCGGCAAGCTCGCGGAAGCCGTAAGGGCATAAGCCAAGCTCGAGACACCTCGCGCGAACCAGCCACGCTACAAACTACCGTCCGTAATTCGGGTAGATTGCGTTCAGATGTTTCGCGCGAACGGTAGACGAGAAGCAGCGCGCGTCGCGAGAGGAGGGCGCGTAGGAAACCGTAGCGAGTCTCGCTGCTTACTCGTCGCCTAACTTCAATTTTACGACCTTACGTGCTAATACTTTGGAAAATCATTTGGCATTCTCGATCACCGTAGCTTTGTATACTCGATTTAGGTATCGTTCGTCGCTAATTACAAACTATCATATCGTTACCATTATCGTTAATACTCTTATTAATATTATTATTAATATTATTATTATTATTATTATTATTATTATTATTATTATTATTTCATTCGACCTATGTTAAATACTACCTTTGGACGTTTCACTTTTGCTTTTTTGTTCGCGTGCTCTCGTTGACCCGCTGCTCGATTTATTCGTTCCGCGTAGGTTGCCGGCGAACGGTGGGCCGCGCAACACACCTAAGCTCGAATCGCGGCGGCGATGGCGGCGCGCGGAGCGGATCGCGCCGCTCTCGCATATCCTATTATCCTTTCCCTTTCACGCGTAGTGCTCGCAATCCCCACGCTCGGACAGCGTGGGCGTGGACGGACACTAGGTGGTGTTCGGATCCTCGTAGGCCTTTTCGTAGTCCCGCCGGCGAATCACCGCGAAGTGAGTCATTTGGAAGGTGTTGGTCTTTTTGCAGCCGCGCTCCAGCGTGCCCGTCATACTGTACCCCATGTTGAAGTCGCTCGACGAAACGTTCGATGTCAGGTACAACTGTCGACAGAAAAGAGAAACCGGTCCCGTTCAGATCGCGAGAGCCGCGGCGCGTCGAACCGCGCGATTAATCGATGCATCGGTTGTCACGAAAGACGCGCGCGATGGTCGGCTACCCAAGCGACGCGACGCGAGGCGACGCGAGGCGACGCGAGGCGACGCGACGTTCGCGCTTCGGCGTCATAAATTTTCCGTGCGGTCCATACGTTACACGGCCGGCGCACAATAGCGGCCACTTTAGAATTTGGGTCATTCGGAAAAGCCCAGGTTTCGCTGGCTTTTCTTCCCCCGCTTTGCCCCGCTGCGCCTCGGCCCGCCCTCGTATCGCCTCGCCACGCCTCGCAACGGCGCGCGAAAGATCCTACGAAACTTCGAGGCCCGACGGGGAACGGTGAGTGTACCTTGAAATCGGGATCGGTCGTCATCCTCTTGAAAGAGCCGATAATGTAGAGCGTGCCTGTCCCCGTGTCCACCATTTTCGCTTGAGTGCTGTACCTGAAACAGACCGATTAAGCCCGGTGAGCGAGCGCGGCTTGTCCCGGCCGGCGTCATTTTGGATAACGTTCGATCGCGGTGCGTGACGGCGATCGGTGGATCGCGCGGCTCAGCGGATATTTATCCGAGGCAAGTAAATTACGCGCGGAAATCGCGGACGTCGCGTCAGTGGTGTCAGCGCGAGTTTCACTGACAAATCGAGAGGACGGTCGCGTTTTCAGCGAACGCTCCCAGCTGTCGACCGATGGTCGACAGCTTGGTCGCCGTGTAACGCTCGCTCGGTCTTCGTAAGCGTTTTATCGTCCCGTAAATCGCTAATGCGATTAGCGCTGCAGGCACGCGACACGCTGCGCCACGGGCTACCCAGATATTTACAGCGACCATGTTTCTTTTTTAGCTCCGATGTGTCGCGGTCCGTCCACGGATTACGCGTTCCCGAAGAGTTCGGGGAACGGAGGAAGCCGAGCGCCAGTGGAAACGGCTAGAGACAGGAACATTGGGAACCGGTGGAACCAGTTGCGCGAGAGAAGTCGTCCAAGGAGCCACCGATACGAGACAGAAGGCGGAGGAGAGATTGAAACGAATGGCCTCCAGACAGAGAGGGAGGGGGAGGAGAGGGTTAAGCGAAAGAAGAACCGTTTTCGGAAGCGAGCGACGGCGGAGAGTGCGAGCTGGGAATAGGGAATAGGGAATAGGGAATA